AACAATTAACAATATATTTATTACACTATTTATTTTTGTCTTTGTTAACATTATTTAATAAAAATACAGTTGTTCATTCATTGTTTGTTCATGTTAGTTCACAGTGCATTAATGTTAACAAACACAGCTTGTTATTTGAATAATGCATTAGCGATTGCTGAAATTAAAGTTAACTAATATTAATAAATGCTGTAGAAGGAAGTAGGTGTAGACGTTAATAAAACACAATCGCTGTATAATGCTGCTGTTTGCTGACGCCTTCGCACAGCGCGCACACGCAAAGCTCGGGATATGACACATGCTTCTTGCAGGTCATGGTTGCTTAGCAACGGCAGACGCCACGGGAGCGCAATGGAAAGAAGGAGAAAGCGGCGCGCCTAGCGTTTTCCACACGTTTTCATTCGCGACATGCAAATGTGGTTTTGTTTTGAAGGAGAAAAAAAAGCATATTGCTGGACTCGGTCGAGACCAACGAGAACATTTGGCGAGTCCAATGACCAAGTCCGAGACAAGTCCGAGTGCAAACACCAACGAGTCCGAGACCATAGAAAAATGTCTCGAGTCTGGACTCGTGTACTACAGCCCTAGGTCCTGGGTCACATATGTTATAAATAACCAAAGGCAATGCAGTTGTGTCTTTTGACTATAATTTTTAAAGGTACAGAACATTTTTTTTTAATTTGATTAATAAAATATAACCAATGGCGCTATGTTATTTTAACTATAATAAAAATGTATCGAGCAAATAATCCACATTTAAATATAAATTTGTTTTAGAACACACACACACACACACACACACATTTATTCAAACAATAAAACTCGGTTTTATTCCTTTAGGTGTTTGGATGCCTTCTGTATCTATGGCAGTGCCGGAAAGGTGGAGGAGCCGTATGTCACCATCACCCGTAAGAAGCAGATGCCCCGGGAAGGGCAGACCGAGGAGGTGGAGCAGGAAGTGGGCCAGGCAGAAGGGAAGTTAGTCACCCACAGGGCCGCTTTTGCCAGGACATCGGTCATACAGGCCTTCCTGGGCTCAGCACCCCAGCTCACACTGCAACTCTACATCTGTGTGCTGCAGAAAGGGGTGTCCATCGGTAGAGGTGAGAACACACACACACACACACACACACACACTAAGCAGTATCAAGTACATTCTGACACACCTAAAATAGAGCGCTGCAGGAGACAGACTAGGTTAATAAAGGCTTTTAGAGAAACTGAAAGCTTAGTGCCATAGTGTAATTGGTTTTATAACACAGTTCTCCGGAATACTTGATTCTGATTGATCAGTTTAGTGGTCAGATATTTCTGAATAAAGGCTGTTGCCAATGGCAACTGATCGCTTATCCGAGAAACCTGTTTCCTACAAAGCTGTGCTTGTGTTTCCGTGCTTTCTAAGTAAGCTAATGAAACAATTTCCATTAATTAGCTATGTAATAATTGGGATAATGTACAGTCGGACAGTCGTTATCACAAGTCACTTCAAGTTGATACAAGATCATAAAAACTCTTTATTTTGCCATAATGAGCGGCTGACTGTATATCACTTACTATACATACCAGTCACAGTGACTAAAAAAAAAATCTAAATGTTTGACTATCACATTTTCAGAATGAGAACGACTTCTTAAATTGTCTTAAGGATTTCTAGAGCATGACTAAGACTTTTCTTATTCCTGCTTTGTTTTTGTTCTGTTATCTGGCCTTGTGAAGTACAACTCCCAAAGTGGAGCATTGCAAGCTTATGAGCTTATGACTTCCACGGTTAATGAGTTTTGTCATTTCTATAACGTGTTAAATGTCAGGGAGAGCAGTTGGCTTTTATATCATTGAGGCATGTCATGTTTCTGCCCAACCAGTATGATCTGTGCACAGTTTCTTTTGCACATTCTCTAAGTTTCCTCTATAGAATAATCTCTCTGTAAATCCTGTAAACATGGAACTGCTCCCAACGTCACCCAACTAAATATAACAAGCTCCCCTCAGTGACACATACTACACACATGCTTGAGTTACACTGAATGCTTCTGAAATGACTTCTAGTTGTGTACTATCTGTTTCTTCATGTTATCTCAAGGACACACACTTTGTTTCAGAGAATATCAGCTAGAATAGATAATATGTTTTTAGACGGCATGTGCAGCCCTCAACAGACAGAAATTATTTATAAACTAGACCACAGATAAATTCATTTTGAAATACCCAGAAGTGCTACTCAACAATGAACAGTCACTGAAAATAACCAATAAAGAACATACATCACCAAATGGCTGAGACTATGATACATTTTTCAAATCTTTTGTACTTTTTCAAACCTGGAAACCTGGATTATTTTTTTTATTATTATTTTAATTTATTATTTTTATTATTATTGTAAACCTGGGACTAAAAAGAGTACAGTGTTTTTTTCATCATTATTATTTTTGTTAACCTGAAACTAAACAAAACGTCATAGGATTTCTTGTGAAAATAACTAATAAACAACAGATAATGCCAATATTCTGCCAAAATTGTGAAATTCGTGTACATCTATTTAGACATTTCATCTAGATTGTTATGCTAATAATAATAATGAAAATGTAAAATGTTTATTTTATTACAAATGCAAGGTCTCTTTTGGACTGTTGGACTCCACTGTATATTGTAGACCGCTTAGGCATTTGCAAGCTGTTATTTGGTATAATTAGAGTTTTACCCTCCACCCATCAACTGTCACTCCACATTGAATATTAGGAATTATAGACCCGACTCTGCCTCGCAGATATGTAGTCATCTGCACTGCATGAGGAATGTGTTGACAGCCTTGCGGTCCATCCTTGAAAGGAGTATTGGAGATCATAATGGATAGTGAATCAGTCTGACCCCATTACCCATGAGGCATAGAGTAATGAAACGGTGACTGACTTTAGATCAGATGGAAGGCTGATGGAGGCCATATGTTTGCACTGCTGGTGGATTTGGGCCTTCAGGGTATCTGCTTTTGTTATCTTTTATTACTTAACAACAATAGTAAACAGTAGTAGTAAATAGTTAATTATGTAACCAAATGGCAACATATTATGCACCACAGTTATGGCAGACCAAAACCAAATAAAAATAAATAAAGAAAGAAATGATTTGCTAAAACAAATACAGTTCATTTTTCATTGAATTTTGTCCTAAATTAATTTTTGTATTGCTTTTTTTTTTTTTTTTTGCTATTTTCTTTATTTAATTTTTTTACTTAATTTGTGTATTTATTTTACATTTATTTATTCCCGCATTTATTTATTTATACAGTTATTTATTATATACAACATGGAAATGGGCTGGGTATAAATTTATCTATTTATAATTTTTTCATTTTCATTCATTCATTCATTCATTCATTCATTCATTCATTTATTTATACATACTTTTGCTGTTTTTTTTTTTTTTACAATTTTCATATTTATTTATTTATTTTTACATTTATTTATTTAAACTTTTTTATGTGCAACATGAAAGTGGGGAAGGTCATATATAGTCATGTATTTCTTTTTTCTTTCTTTGTCTTTCCTTGTTTAATTGTTTATTTATAATTTCTGCATGTTTGGGCCTCTATACACACAGTGGTTTATTCAATATCCACTTATCTAATGCAAATGTTTGTTCAATTGCTCCTAACCACAAAGTATGTTTGGATTTAACGTGCTCATGTTTCATTCTTTTCGCTCTCTGCCAGGTACATTGATGGTCATTTCTCTTCTCTCGATTGTATACGGAGCCCTACGCTGCAATATTCTGGCCATAAAGATACGCTACGATGATTACGAAGTCTCCGTGCGTCCGTTGGCATACCTGTGCGTGTTCCTGTGGCGAGGGTTCGAGATCGCCACACGTGTGGCAGTACTGGTCCTCTTCAGTTCCGTGTTGAAGGTATGGGTGCTTCCGGTGGTGTCGGCCAACTTCGTCCTGTTCTTTCTGCACCCGTGGGTTCTCTTCTGGAGCAGCCGCTCTCCTTTCCCGGAGAACATTGAGAAGACGTTGACTCGTGTCGGGACCACTATTGTCCTTTGCATGTTGACCTTCCTGTACGCCGGCATCAACGTGTTCTGCTGGTCCGCCGTTCAGCTTAGATTGGATGACCCTGATCTGATCGATAAGGGTCAGGCATGGAGGCGCCTCGCTGTGTATTATTCCCTCCGTTTTGTCGAGAACACGGGGCTGATTTTGATGTGGTACGTCCACCGGACTGAGTTCTACCAATGGGTGGACGCTCCCGTGTTAGAACTGTCACTGTTGTTTGGTTATGCCACAGCTGTTTTATTTATGTTGCTCTTTTACCAGTTTTGCCACCCTTGCAGACAACTCTTCTCATCCAGTCCAGCCCAAGGCTTTTGGGAATGCTGTGGATCCCTCTGCCTGCTTCGTGGGACGCTTTCCCAGCCGGGCTCCATGAGGACCAAGCCACCAGGGGAAGACACTGGAGACGATCCACCCTGCGTTACCAAAGGGGACATTGGACAGAGTTTGTGCGGCGCTGTGTGAGCAAAGCACAGCTTAAAGAAATAGTTCAACTAAAAATGACAATTCTGTCATCATTTACTCACCTTCATGTCATGCTTGTATGATTTTATTCTTCTTCAGAAGAAAGGTTTTTTTGAACTCCATCAACTTTTATTGCATAAACAAAGACAGTTGTCTTACATAAAATATCTTCTCTTGCATTCCATGGAAGGTATAAAGTCATTCGGAACCATTTGGAACATGAGGGAGAGGTAAAAAATGACAGAGTTTTCTTTTGTAGGTGAACTATCCCTGTAAAAACACTGTAAGAAGTGCCCTTTAAGGATCAAGAGGGAGAAATAAAATTAAAATGTTGGATTTCTGCCTTAATTGTGGCATGTAAATGTCAACGTTTGTTGTACTTTGAGATGAATATACTTTTTCTTGTTTGGTTTACAAGGCAAAAGAGCCAGCATGTTCCACTGAAATGCATGTGAAATGCCCTACCAAGATAAAACCGCTGCTTTATTGTCATGTGACGTGGGAGTGCTCTGTCGGTGTTGGTTTGATTAATGTTATAGCTGTCTCTGTGTATGGATTATTTAAAGAAGAGTTATTTAAACGATTGTATTTAAGCTTTTGATTTTTCCATCACCTTGGAGGCATTGCTTTCTGAAAAATGTTTGACAACCTCTCAGGTTCATTATTAATATTTTCTTCTAGTTTTTCTTATTACTCTACTCATACTGTGTGTAAGACTGTGAAATTAGTCCTGATTGGTCATATGACAGTGTCCTATCATATGATAACATATGGCCTAAATTCAAGCAATTGCCTAAAGTTGCTTTAAAAATGTAAGGACATATGGATAGTGAGAGTTGGGTTGCCAGGACCTTCATAATCCTGCAAAGAATGATTTAATCAATTGTTTTTTCTTTCCTTTGTTTACACTCCTATTTTGCATTTGTCTCATCTGGAGACCTCTTTTGCACATTATTCAGATATCTTTCTACAAAATGTTACAAAAAAAAGTCATTATTTTCATTGAAGGCAGTAGATGATTGTATCCTAACTTTACTGCCCCCCTGTGGGGAGTTGAATGGTTTGAGGTTATTCATTTTGCAAGACTTTGTGATTGGGTTACATTTGGAAACTCCCTTAAAAAATATGTCCTTCAGCACTGCATAGAGCACACCATTGCTTTTGATACGTGCAACTATCAGCTAAACCCATAATAAAGAATAAAATAAATAAAGGAGAATGTTATTTTGTCCATGGTGGTACACACTGTTTATTGAACTTCTCCTGTTATTTATTTATTAATTCTCATTGTATTTGCTGTGTGTTTTCTATGTGTGAGGTCAGTTGTCACTTTTTTGTAATTCTTTTTTCTGAAAACCTCAATTAAAACCCATTTACAATATACTCATGAGAAAGACAGTAACAAATGCATGAAACTTATTTAAATCATAAAACCATAACAGTTCAACTTCTGACACTACAAAAACTAAGACTGAATGAATGACAGGCCTGACTATAAATCAGAAAGAGAACTGAGAGATTGTCTGACCATCCCCTTTAGGTTGAGGAACTTTGCTTGATGGTTTCTCATGGGCTCACAGTTGTGACACTATTTCCTGGTTTGCTTATCTGCTTTATAAACCAAATCCCTTTTTGTCTTGTGGCTTTCTTCAAAATTGTTCATCCACACTTCTCTTGATCTTCTCTTTCTACACAGCACAACATCATGGGAAACTTTGCTGCAAATGAAGGACTGTCCATTTTTGTTATTGTAAGCTGTTGGAGTTATACTTTCTTAATTAAATTAACTTTTATCTTTATTTTATAGTCTTTGTATTTAAAGTTCTTAATTGCATTTGTGTGTCTTTGGCACATTATGTTTTATTTGTTAAGCATACTGAAGGACAGAGACACTCCTCATGCTTTATACTTATACTATATTTACTTAATCAGTCTGCAAATCGTCTCAGACGCTCTCCGTTGTGTTTTTCAGCTGGTATGGCTCGGCATCAATGTGTTTCTCTTTGTGAATTCTTACATGGCATTTTTGGTTGATAGATACTACTATACTAGAGTCATCCTTGGGGTAGGTGTCAAATAATTTATACATTTTAAACATTTAATTTATTCAATAATCTATAAATAGGATGAATGTATTATTGTATTTTTTATTGTTGTAAATTATTATATTGATGTCATTGTGTTTTTTAAAAATGTATCCTGTATAATTCGTAATTGTAATAATTTGTGTAGTTACACTCCAGTGTTAATTATGTTAAATTATATTGTTAATCTAATTTCATATTTGTATATTGTATTAAGCTAGTGTATTGTTCTCAGAATTTAGAAAAGTACAATTCTCATATGTAGGCCTATATATTGCTGTACATTTTATCTGCAAGTGCAGTTTTTAATGCATCAGTGAATATGTTGTTCAGAGCTTAAAATAGGAAATGAAACTTTTCTCTCTCTCTCTCTCTCTCTCTCTCTCTCTCTCTCTCTCTCTCTCTCTCACACACACACACACTCAGCATGCTCTCTCATGGGCCAGAGCTCCAGCTGCATGTCTGAATTTTAACTGCCTGTTGATCTTGCTGCCCGTCTGCAGAAACCTGCTCTCGTTCCTACGCGGATCCATACAGGTCAGGAAAAGCACAACAGAGCTAAAGTGAAAGGCTTATCCACTTCAGGTAATTAAAGTGAAAAGGCCTGATTCTCCTCATTGATGGTATGTGTGTGTGTGTGTTTGCAGTACTGTAGCCGCACTGCAGCCCGTCAGCTAGACAGAAACCTCACTTTCCACAAACTAGTGGCCTACATGATTGCCCTCCACACAGGTACAATAAGAGAATATTCATCTAGATTAAATCTTTTTAAATTTTCAAATCTTTCGCAAACCCTACAATCTGAACTCAACGTTTTGCACACACTCTCAGAAAAAAGGTCAAACGTAACCTTAAGATACTAATATGTAACTTTTAGGGATAAATAAGGCCCAAACCTTTTGCACCTTTTTGTATGACCCCAGTGACAGCTTTGTACTGTTTGTCTCTTATATTTTATGGATGAAATTCTGTAAGCCTTGCTGATGATGTCTTGTATATTCTCCCAGCCATCCACATCATAGCTCACTTGTTCAACTTTGAGAGATTCATGGATTCCCAGATTATGATCAACAGCAGTCACCTGCCTTATGTGCTTTCTCAGATTGGCAACAATGACAACAGATCCTACCTCAACCCTATCAGAACCAATGAGACGGTGAGGTTTTTGCTCATTTCAGTCACACACGTTTCGTTGTTAACAGAAGTCCCCATTAAAACTCTGTTTCTGAGGCAGAACCTCCAACTGATCTCACTTCAGCCCTGTAGGATAACCTCCCACTTCCACCCACGGTTACATCACGTAACCATCATGCTGTGATCACATGATTAAAAAAATTCTGTTGCCATGGTTTTGCTATGATGACCCGGTGGACAATAGCCAGAAATAGAACAGGGAGAGAGAACAATCAACACACACATCCTATGACTGATATAAAAAGATCTACTATATTTATAGCTGCTTTTGAGAGTAACTATAACAGATTTTGAAAATGTTTTGTGGGTTAAGGGGAAAAAAATTGAATGATTGTTTTACCATCTTTATATAGGCCTACACTATCGTTTGGGATCGGGAAGATTTTTGGAAAGAAGTGTCTTATGCTCACTTTATTTGATCAAGAATACAGTAAAAACAGTAATATTATGAAATATTATTACTATTTAAATAATTTAATGTAATTTATTCCTGTGATAATAGCCATTACTCCAGTCTTGAGTGTCACATGATCCTTCAGAAATCATTTTAAAATGCAGATTTGGGGCTCAAGAAACACTTTATTACTAGCAATTGTGAAAACAGTTGTGCTCCTTAATATTTTTGTGGAAGCGGATTTTTTTTCTCTTCAGGATTCAGTTAAAAAGTTTAAAATAACAGCATTTATTTGAAATATAAATTTTTTGTAACATTATAAATGGTCACTTTTGATTCATTTAATATGTCTTTGTTGAATAAAAGAAAAAAAAAGTACTGACCCCAAACCTGTCAAAGGTAGTGTATATGAGACTGAAATTTAATCTAGATGTTTGCAGTCTACGTTATCTTTGTTTCTTTTTAGTGTAATGTTGCTTTTATTGTATGTTGCATGTTGAGTAATGTTTTATGTTGTCATTTTTGTGTTTTTGATTTCCCAGAACCCAACCATAGTGATGTTTACTACTATAGCAGGACTGACGGGGGTGGTCATCACCCTCGCCCTCATCCTCATCATCACTTCCTCCATGGAGGTCATCAGAAGGTCATATTTCGAGGTCTTCTGGTTCACCCATCATCTGTTCATCGTCTTTTTCATTGGTTTGGTGGCTCACGGAATTGGGTAAGGGTTTATTTCAATTAATGTTTGTATTTTTTTGTTAATAAACCAAAAAAACCTAAACTAAATCTGTATTTCACAATATGAATTTTCTATACTTTCATTCAGCATCGATATGTTAAAAATGATCAAATATGACAGTAGAGATGTGTTGGATCCAACTTGAAGTGGATTTGAGATTTTATATTTTAAATAAATGCAGTTCCTTTGAACTTTCTTTTCATCAAAGAATCTTGAAAAAATGTATCGCAAATGTTTCCACACAAATATTAATCAGCTTAACTGATAATAGGAAATGTTTAATGAGCACCAAATTAGTATATTAGAATAATTTCTGAAGAATCATGTGAAACCCAACTTTTGTAGTTGGTAGTGTATATATGTTATATCAACTTTTGTTATATACACTTTTGTTAACCAATAGCTACAGCCTAGCCAGCATGAAAGCACGCAAACTGCATCCGGATTAAATATTGTAATAATATGCAAAATGTGATTTAATCACTGAATCTACCGGATTTAAAACATTTATTTGACAGGTGTCACTCACAATGATTGGATGCTTCGCTTTTTCCTTTCATTTGTACTGTTTAAAGTTGAGCAATTCTCAACTTTGTTGTGGTCTCCGCTTTCTCAACTCCACTGTCAATACCACAATTCCTCTTGCACGCATTCTGCTCAGCGCTAATAAGGGATGATTTGAAAGCACAAACACCCACTCATTTCTGCTCATTCATGCCAGTGAACACATGGCTAGACATACAGTTTTAAGCTATTTTTAATGAAGCATTATAACACATCTCATAATACATGTTGACAGGCACATCATGCTAGCAAGAGAATTACCATCCATTATTTATGCAGTAACTGCGTGTGTGTCTGTGTAGGCGTATCGTGCGAGGCCAGACTGTGGAAAGTGTAAAGGTTCATGACCCAGTTGAATGTCACAGCAAGTTCGAGACCTGGGGTCAAAATGGCACCGACTGCCCAGAACCTATCTTTGCTGGGAATCCCCCGATGGTATATCCTAACTTAATCTCAATCTCAAATACATCTAGCATTTCATTCATCATTTCGATGGCATCTCAACATGTACTTCCTCTTACAGACATGGAAGTGGGTGGTTTGCCCAATGTTTCTATATGTATGTGAGAGACTGGTGCGTTTCTATCGCTCACAGCAGAAAGTGGTTATCACCAAGGTTAGTCATTCAAGCTGTTTGATTAGCAACCAAATGAATTCTTCCTCTCTTACCATATTGCATCACTTTACAGGTAGTGATGCACCCATCCAAGACCCTTGAGCTGCAGATGAAGAAGAAGGGCTTTAAGATGGAGGTCGGTCAGTATGTTTTCATGCAGTGCCCGTCCATCTCTCAGCTAGAGTGGCATCCCTTTACCTTGACCTCTGCCCCGGAGGAAGACCACCTTAGTGTGCATATCCGAATTGTAGGGGATTGGACACAAGCCCTTTATACAGCCTGTGGAGGTGACAAAACTGTGGTGCTGGATGCTTGGACACTACCAAAGTAAGATTAAAGTAAAAGATCCAAAAGTTAATCCAAAAATGAACATTCTGTCAGCATTTACTCACATTTATGTCGTTCCAAACCCCATTGACTTTCATTGTGTGAACAAGAACATTCTTTAAAGGAGCCCTATAATGCCCCTTTTTACAAAGTAATATAACTCTCAGTTGTCCCTAGAATGCGTCTGTGAGGTTTCAGCTCAAAAATCACGTTTTGTGGTCGGGGTTTCTCTGGTAAAATTCACATTTTAGGGGCTAAAATCACGTTATTGGGGTCGCATCAACCCGCGGACATGAAAAACAACCCATGGCAATAGTGTTAAAGAAGCCCAATTCCGGCGGAAAACTACGGACTTGGCAACACTGGCGCCGTGGGTGGAAACTTGCAGATTAAAGGTCTTTGCACACCGAGTCAAAATTGAAATTCTCATTCAAAATTTTCGCACGTAAAAAAATAAATACGTTGTGTCAATCACGTTTACACACTGCCTCTGAAACTTTAATTATAAAAATATTTCGACCAGGTTCAATTTTGTGCATTTTCGCATCTTTAGCAAGCATTTTGGTAGGAAAGGATGACGAATATGAAACCCCCCCCCCTGAAAAAAACGCATATGAAAATTTCGGACTTCAGTGTGCAAGGACCTTTAGGGGCGGTGATATTATAATAAGATCCCCTTTCTACGTCACAGGGGGAGCGAAATCTGACACGCTCTTTTTTCACAAGCTTACTGAGAAAGGCTTTGCCAAAAAAATTTACTGGGTTAATCTTTTTCACGTTTTCATACGTAGCACTTAACAACGTCGTTTGCACCGCGCTCTTGCGTTACTTGATCTTTTTATTTTGGTGCGTCAATCTGTTGAGTTACTTAGTATAAGAAATTATGATCCACACTCACGAGAACAATCTTCTTTTTTCTTTTATTTTACATTCATTACTGATGGGAAAAGACACAAACGTTTCGGCTCAAAGCCTTCCTCAGTGTGTAAAGCAATTCAATCCCTCCACCCACTTTTCAAATCACTAATTATATTGACGTCATCATTCATTAGCCAATGTTCAATTACCACAATCATTAAATCATTAAATCGTTTCCACTTAAACCCTGGACAATTTACATAGAGTATATCCAACACAAACCATCACATCCACTATAGTACACCTCACAATATACCCGTGACTAAAACAATAGTTATTTAGGATCACATATTTATCACTATTATACAAGCCTATAGTTTATCCTATCAATCATCAATATCTACTCCAATTAACGTGAACATGCGTTGCACTTAAACACAGATTTTTAGATTTTCATGATATGTCACCTTTAAAACACCTTGTTCTGCAGAAGAAAAAAAGTCATACAGGTTTGGAATGACATGAGGTTAAACAAATGATGACAAAAATGTTTGTCCTTTTAATGTCAGGTTTATGTCTTGAATAACAGATGTAGTGCTTTTAAAGGGGTCATATGATGCGATTTCAATTTTTCCTTTCTCTTTGGAGTGTTACAAGCTCTTGGTGCATAAAGAAGATCTGTAAAGTTCAAAGACTAAAGTCTCAAATCCAAAGAGATATTCTTTATAAAAGTTAAGAGTCAGCCACACCCTCCTAAAACGGCTCGTTCTAACACGCCCCCACATGTCTACGTCACTATCTGGGAAGATTTGCATAACGCCGCCCAAATGTTCACGCAAAGAAAGAAGGCGTAACTTTTATTCTCGCTGTAGTATTGTTGCCGCCGCCGCAATTTCGTGAAGGCGCTGTGTGCTTCGTTGCGAAAGCGAAACTACTTTGTTTGGCCTTCCAAAAGAGGACGATATCGCTTCGTCATGCCTGGAGCTGATCCGTGCTGGTCGCTGAGGAAATACTTCAACTTTGCGCTCTCGATCGCCGGATCGGCTTTCACCGTAGACGAAGCGGAGTGGGGTCGTCACATGTGGTTTCCGCAGGCATCACAGTATGGTAAGGGGCGTAACATTTCCGTTACACGCTTGAGGAATTCGGCCAATCACAATGCACTGGATAGCTGGCCAATCAGAGCACACCTCGCTTTTTCAGACCGATGAGCTTTGTAAAAATCGACGCGTTTCAGAAAGGCAGGGCATAGAGGAGAAACAATAATGTACAGTATGTGGAAAATAATGTTTTTTGAACCTTAAACCGCATAAACACATTTCATTACACCAAATACACAAAATAATGTTCTTTTTAGCAGCATCATATGACCCCTTTAATAGTACTAGCAAGTCTCACTTGTAAAATGGGAAAATACATGTGTAAAAAGGGGATGTGGGCACAATCGCAGTTGAGAAAAAAGAGAAGTGTTGGGAGAGCAGGTTTCTGTTTGAGAAGATGGAAGGCAATGTTGATTTCAACATAAGTGAATTTTTCTTGCTATTTCTCTTTATGTGTTTCCTAATTTCTTCCTCCTACAGTAGAGAACTAAAAGAATACAAACACTAACAACACAATGCTCAGTTATTAGCACAATTTGATAGTTTGCTGTGCATAATTTCTATTTTTGTCTGTGTAGGATGGCTGTGGATGGACCGTTTGGGACGGCCAGTGAGGATGTCTTTCGTTATGAAGTTGTGATGCTTGTGGGTGCCGGTATTGGTGTGACACCTTTCGCTTCCGTTCTAAAGTCTGTGTGGTACAAACACGTCCAGGAGAACAAAAACGTTTTCACCAAAAAGGTGATAAACAGCACCAAGTTTAGCGATTCAGGCTTTGAATGACAAAACAAAATCTTTGTTTAATTTGTAGTCTTATTCATTAAAACTCATAAATGTCAGTTTTTTTTAAGGCAAAGCACTACAGGCGAATATAGTAAAAATGTAAGTAGTAGATATCATCATACTTCTACAGTTGATTAATCGCAGTGCATTAATACAGTTGTTATGTATTACAAGTTTTCAGAATTGATTTGCAGTTGAGGCATCATCTAATTAAATATGCACCAATTTGCTTACATTTCCAGAACAGAAATGTGAACACTGGAATTGTTTAGTTTTATTTTGTTGACATTAGAGTTACAGGTTTTTACACAGGGGATTTTGAACATCCCTTTTCATTACTCTGAATAAATTGAAGTTGAAGTGGAAATTTATAGCTCAGAGCATGAATAAAAACTAATTTAAAGGAAACGACCATTAAAAATATGTATTGTAATTCAACTCTACAAATGCATGTAGATAAAGTGTAATAAAATAAACACTTAAATGTGTATTTTGGATGTTGTCTTTTCGCTAATCTGAAAGAAGTCAAGTTATGGTAGCAAAATAGCCTTGAAACTCAAAATTGACTAGTGTCCCAAAAAGCAAGGGTTTTGTCTGTTACTAATGTAATGTTCTGACCATTGACCTCTGCAGATCTATTTCTACTGGCTCTGCCCGGAGACGCAGGCTTTCGAATGGTTTGCAGACCTGCTGCAGAGTTTGGAAAGGCAGATGAATGAAAAAGAATTGAGGGATTTCCTCAGTTACAACATCTATCTAACGCGCTGGAAAGATGCTGAGGTGGGCGAAAAGACTTGCTTGTTTAATGACAAGACACTGAACTATTTTGAACTGCCCTGAAATACAAAAATACTTCGACACTCATTATTTTGATTACTGTTTAAAGGCGGCCCATCTTAGAGTTCAATATGAGGCAGAGGACGATCCCATCACCGGCCTTAAGCAGAAGACTCGGTATGGTAAACCCAACTGGGACAATGAGTTCAGTGCCATCGCTACCCAACACCCAGGGTATGTAGAGTGTGGTAAATAACAGCAGCGTTAAAGGCTTTCTACACTTAATGGGCATTAATAACTAGTATTTTTTCCTCTTCCTTCTTTCAGTTCAAAAGTAGGCGTTTTTCTGTGTGGTCCTACGGCTTTGGCCACAGCTCTGGGGAAACAGTGTATGTCACACACTGAATCTGGAACTGAGTTTATATTCAACAAAGAAAACTTCTGATGTGCTTCACAAAGTGTGCCAAATCATATGTATCAGAACCCATGGATGCTGATAAACACATTTTAAATCAATGTAAATGCTGGAAAAATTACGTCTTAAAGGGGACATATGATGTTGCTAAAAAGAACATTATTTTGTGTATTTGGTGTAATGAAATGTGTTTATGCGGTTTAAGGTTCAAAAAACACATTATTTTCCACATAATGTACATTATTGTTTCTCCTCTATGCCCCGCCTTTCTGAAACGCGTCGATTTTTTGCGTCGGTTTTTTGCAGTGCACGTTTATGTCATTATTATGTTGTTGTATTATGTGCATGATCTATAATTGATTTTTATGTACTATAAAGATCAAAGTTTTATTTTACTGTGAAACTATCCTGCTTTCCAAACCTGCTTCCTCTCTTAAGTGGAAGTTACATAAACCTTACAAAATCTTTTAAGTTTAGCAATATGGTGGGCTGATTAATGAAATCACAATGTTACAACATATGGCATGCCACTATACAACAGTCAGATACTGAATTGAATATGGTGTTATAGTGGGTAATTCTATGTGGGCCGTACAGATGGACTGTTTCGCTTATAATTTTTTCTTAGCAAATTTATTGTGTGCTGGCTCATTACAAATTTTAAAGATAGAGAAAGATTTATTTTCAGTTCCCAAAAATAAAGTTTAACATATATTATGTCATAATGTGACATCCTTGCATTGTTTGTAAATTCCCCCTCATAGTTTGTATTTGGTTCAGAATTTAAATCCATTTTCAGATATGGAAAATGCCTCAAAAGTCTGAAGACTAAAAAAAAAAACATCCATATATATTTTTTGGATTGATAAACCCAAATCAGACAACTTTAATTAAGCATCAACACATTTGCATTTAATCCTGTACAGAACAAAGGTGCACGTTACCTTTGCAAGTCCAAAAAAAAAAAAAAGGCAAATAAACATACAATGTGGTAGACAGGCATTTGCAATACAGTTTAAATTTGAAAGATTAGGCAAAACATGACACAAGTTGAACATGATTTTAAGCCAGTGTTGAAGCAGAGGATGTGAGTGAAGATGTTTTTATCCTTTTGTTTCTGTTTATGTCTCAGCCCTGATTCCTGTTTATAGCGCAATAGCCACTGCAAACACACTGACAACGCAGTACATGGTGCGGTTCTCCCACCTGACTGTGCAGCTTCCTGCAAAAACAGACACATATTACAATGAAATCAAATGCACACAGTGCGTCATCTCATTTAGTTTGAAAAACTGTGATACTTAAAAATACAGATTTTTTTAAAAGAAAAAACTATAGTTTATTATAAAGATCTATTATTTATTACAAGTCCAATAAATAAAATAGAACACGTTTGGACCACTGACATGAAATTTTAAGCAGTTTTAGTGGTGTCCTGCGGTATTCTATACTTTTGTTTTAATTATTTGACTATTTTTGAACACTTTTTCCCCCCTTCATTTTATAAATATTCTACAGGTATGTTTTAGAAAGCTTAATTCTGCCATGGGATTAAAAAAAAAGTCAAAAAGCTAACTAACTTTTTTATCTTACAATCTGGACGTTTTCCCTTGCATTTCAGTGTTTATATCTCACAATTCTAACTTTTTTCTCTCTGAATTGTAAGATAAAAAATTGCAAGAAAATGTCTGAATTGTGAGATAAAAAGTCAGTTTTTACACATCTTTTTGACTTTTTATTCTGTGGAGGAAAACACAAACAAACAAAAAGAAACAGAACTGAGACATAAACTCGGAGACTACATGGAATAGTTATTTCAACTGTTACGAATCCATTGTCACACAACAGAACTATTTAAAAATTAAAAAATTAAAAATGGAAAAAATTCAGATTAAAAAAAAATATATATATATATAATAACATATAATACAACATTTAAATAATGAAATATTTAAAAAATAAAATAGAACATATTTTAAAAAATGGACATATAATATTATATATATATATATATATATTGCATATATATGCATATTCATATAAGCAAAATAATGCATGTTCCACATACAACTAATATGCAATGCATCGATTTAAACTTTATTCAGAAAAATATAAATTAAATTAGAAGACCAATGTGTCAGTGTGACTATGAAAGCACAAAGCAGTTATATAGAATTAGAAGCTTTACCATCAGTGGTAGTGTCCCAGTAACAAGAGTTGGCTGTGTGAAGACCTGCGCCACTTTTCTGCATCACAGCACAGTTGACTGAAATTCATACATAATATATACAATCAACAACAGCACATTTGGCCTTGTGAAAACATGATATATAAATATATCATCAGATATATAACCTATTAGGTATTTGCATACAAGATGAACTCAAATGGAAAAGATCATACCAATATACTTGAACGGTTTCCCCTGTTTGACTAACTGAGTGAGAGTGTGTTCGACTATGCTGGCTGTCCACTGGTTGACTTTGTTCTGGCTGTAGTCCACGCCTCCAATAATGCCCTCAATGCACTGACCGATAAACACACACAGACAGAGTTAATGGAGCAGACTTGCAGGCATGAGTTAGACATGAGACTAAACAGCAAATCAATTCATTCAGTGAGACACAGTATATCATATAGGCAGGGTTCGTACACATTTTTACCAATACATTTCCATGACTTTTCCATGACTTTTGAGACAATATTCATGACCTAAATGTTCCATTATTTTACAATAAGAATACAAATCTGTTCAAATGATCATAGCATATGTTAACTAAAATGAATGACTATTAATGCTACTCGTTTGCTTTCTTGTTTTAGTAATAAGTACAAGCTGCAACTGCGCCAGACCTTAACTCCACATTTCACATCACTGAATATTATCATTTATTTATTTATTGGTGTCATTTTGTGTGTATTTTTGCTGCTTAAATGCAACAAGCTGCGCTTTAGAGCCCTGCATTTCAGCCCGAGCCCAACGGCCATAACTTATGTATGGCTTCGGGACAATTTTCACGTCATAGCTCAGACACGGGCCAGGCATCAGGCTTGCTTCCTCCTTATGTTTATATTTTAGATATCCATCAATTATTATGGTGATGACAAAGATTTGATGCGCTGGTGGAAACAACACGAGATCGTGCTACCGCACCTGTCAAGAGTGGCTCGGACGGTGTTTAGTGTCCAGCAGCAGCGAGTGCTGGAAGAGTTCCATGTTAAAGCGCACGAATAAAAATCTGTTCAAATTATCATAGCATATGTTAACTAAAATGAATGACTATTAATGCTACTCGTTTGCTTTCTTGTTTTAGTAATAAGTACAAGCTGCAACTGCGCCAGACCTTAACTCCACATTTCACATCACTGAATATTATCATTTATTTATTTATTGGTGTCATTTTGTGTGAATTTTTGCTGCTTAAATGCAACAAGCTGCGCTTTAGAGCCCTGCATTTCAGCCCGAGCCCAACGGCCATAACTTATCTATGGCTTCGGGATAATTTTCACATCATAGCTCAGACACGGGCCAGGCATCAGGCTTGCTTCCTCCTTATTTTTATATTTTAGATAGCCATCAATTATTATGGTGATGACAAAGATTTGCCGCGCTTGTGGAAACAACACGAGACAGTGCTACCGCGACTGTCAAGAGTGGCTCGGACGGTGTTTAGTGTCCAGCAGCAGCGAGTGCTGGAAGAGTTCCATGTTAAAGCGCACGCAAAGCTGCGCTTTAACATGATGGTCTGAATCAGGTGTTCATTTTTGTGAAGCGCTCCTGCTCAAGACCGAGACAGCAGAAAGCGTATCCTGTTTGTTTTCTAAAAAAGCACAACGTATGCTGATATTGTGAGTGCACACAAATAAAAGTAGACCCTTAACAGTCCCGAAATAAGGTTTATGAATACAAAAATGTTGATATTTAATTCATAATTTGCTTTAACGTTATGATTTGGCCACACCCTGAATCATTTTACGTGAAAACGTACAACACAATAATGTAAAACATAAATCAAAATGACTTTCAATCATCTATGTATATGTAAATGATGCAAACACATGAAAATATGTACGTTCGTGAATGAAGTAATATTTTGTTTCTGTCTGGACGAAGCGGTTAGCAAGCTAGCATTAAATGGCAGTCTACAGTTTACCAGTTTTGAAGAGTTAGACAGATAATAACCAGTTATAGTCTTATATAACACCTACTTCATCTCCAGAATGATATTCCTCCATCTTTTTTAGCTTGAAAACCAAAAATCTAGACAACACAGTTCAGATGAGCGTAGCTGTTCTCTCACCGACAACTAAAAGCTGATGTTAGCAACACAACGACGATTGAGTGCTGCCACCTAGTGGCGCTCCTCCCACTCACCATTATCTATCTACCTCTCATAAAAAAGAAAATGACAATTTTGAGTTGATGTTTACTTGTATCAAGTCAAATACAAAGGTCTCTTTATCTTCCTCACTTTCCTCCTCCTCTGCTTTGTTTTCACTCTCCCCTTTATCTTCATCATCTTCAGTCTCACTCTCCTGCTTTTCTGAATCTTTCTCCTCTTCTTTGCTAGTCTTTTCACCGTCTTCATCCTCCTCTGCCTCACCTTCCACATCACTTTCTTCCTCATTCTCACTATCATTCTCCTCTGACTCCTCATCTTCATCTGACTCTTCCTCTGATCTGTCACTTCTGCTCTCTGACTTTCCCTCTGATTCTTCTCCACTCTCCTCCTCTTCTTCCTCTTCACTTGTTTTGCTTTCACCCTCATCTTCTCCACTCTCTTCCTCATTGTTTCTAATTATCTCACTTGTTTCCTCTTCCTCATCTTCTATTCCACGACTCTCCTCTTCCTCAGCTTCACTCTCTACATCCTCAGTTGCATCACTTTTACTTTTCTTCTCCTCTTCCTCACTTTCCTCATCCTCACTAGAAGCTTTGATCGTGGTATCATCATCATCAACCTCAGAATCATCATCATTTGCTAGGGTCATGCTCTCACTTTCCTCCTCTCGGTCATCCACTTCCTCACTCTCCTCCTTTCTGTTCACCAATCCCTCGCTTTCTTCTTCTCTGTCATCCACTTCCTCACTCTCTTCCTTTCTGTTCACCAATCCCTCGCTTTCTTCTTCTCTGTCATCCACTTCCTCACTCTTTTCCCTTCTGTCCACCAATCCCTCACTTTCCTCCTCTTCTGATTCCTCTCCTCCTTCCTCCTCACTTCTTCTATATGTTCCCACCTCAGAATGAGCCTCGGTTTTGGACTCAGTGCTGGTTCTTTCCAAGTCCCCATCTGAAGTTTCTGGTTCTGCCTTAACATTGATGGTGACCGCCGTCTTCTTGGCCTCTCTTGTCTCCTCTTGTCCTGAAACCTCAAAAGACTCACTCAGGGACGAAACGTCAGACAGAGTTCTCTGTTTTGAAAGAGGTTTTGGCATTTTTTGAGGTGCAGACTGTGAAAGGAACTGACTGACTGCTGTATCTCCAAGTAAACGAGTGGGACTTCCCATTCCCACATTGTGGAGAAAAGATGTCACCTTGGTGATATGATTTTCCTTCATTTGCTCTGACTCTGATTCAGATTTGAAAGCAGCTTCTGAGATAATGGTAGACCCCTTTTTTTGGTCCTTTACTAGCAACTGGCTTTGTTCCACTTTTGATTTTTTAGTCTTCTCTGTAGAAATTTCTTCTTGGCAAGAGGACTGTTGTGAAGTAGTGGAGAGCTCTTGCACTGTCTTTTTACTTTTGGAGTCTTTTTTTGAATCTAACTTTTTGCTCTTTGGGACAAAACCTTTGGTTTCTGTCTTAGCAGTGTTCATTTCACCTTTCATCTTCTGAGCTTTTGGTAAAATCTCTTTTGAGATCTTCTTACCTGTTGGGTCTTGGTCTTTATGCGTGGTCTGTTCAAGATATTGTTCAGCAACTATTATGGGTTTCGTTTTTACTTCTTTTTCTTCCCCCATAACCTTTTGAGACCGACTACTGACTTCCAATGGACGACCTTTGGGTTTTGTTTTACCTTCTTGGTTTGTTTTTGTACTTTCTTTTGACTTGTGAGCAATCTTCTCACTTTCAGCCTCTACCTTTGAATGTTCCTCAAGTATGGGTACTTTATTCCCAGCATCTTTTCCTGTAACTCTATCCCTTGACTTCATCAGCTGTTTGTGTTTGGGCTGGAAAGATTTGGATCCAGCTCTGCTTATGTCCGTCCCCATTCTTGTGTTACTTCCTGCAACTTGGTGATGTGAAGGCCTTCTGTCCTCCAAAGCTATAAGTACATTTTCCTTATCCTGACCATGTCTCTTAGGGCTCTTGTGGGGTGTACCTGTCCCAAGACTGTCTCCGACTACTGAGCTACCACTTGAACTTTTAAGTAACTCAGTCGAAAGAGCTTTGCGAGCTAAAACCTCTGCCCTCTTTCTACAAAGGGCGGGGTCATCTCTTGGCTTCCCCTTCTCCTTACCGTGCTCTTTCACAAGCTTAACATTCTTCTATCCCAGGAAGCAGAGGATAAAAAGAGGGAAAGTGTTAGAGAAACGAATGAACAGGCAGAGCAGGCTGAACGAGAGCAGAATGAGCTTTAAAGCTGCAAAGCAAATGAGAAGAATAAGTCAATGACGCGAAAAGAGAGAAAACGTAAGCAGAGGTCTAAGAGTGCCGTCCTTTGAAGAATAAACATTTATTTTTTTGCTCCTCAACCTCTGTTTGACCATCTAAATGGCAAATTTTGAATTTCTTGAACAGCAACCCAGGTGAGCACTTACCTTCTCCATAGGAGACAATGTTAGAGTCTTATCGCTAGGGTCTATCTTCATTACATGAGTCTGAAATCAAAGAAACTTTCACATTAGACTTGGAAGCTTTATGTCTTTTATATCAATGGTTTTCAACAGGTTTTTCTACACAACTCAGATTTTTACATAAAATGGCAACCCCAAACTATTAAACGAAGCCTGTATTTAATGTAGTTTATCATTTACTTTTTCCTTTTGAAAGTTGAAATTTATTTTTCTCTCCTAATTATTCATGATTATACAGTTAGTTCTATTTGCATTTAGTATTGTGTTTCCCGTGACTCTGTCAGAACGGTTGTAAACACTGTTACTGTGCCACACTTTTTTACCTAATGTTTAAAACTGGCAGCAATTTCTCATTAAAAATGACAATAAACCAAATCATTAAAGGTCTAATTCTACTTATTTTTTCTGTATATATTCTAAAAGCACGCATTCTTCTTTAATAAGTGATAATATGCTTCTCCTACCAGGTTTAATAAGTCAGTGGTTTCTCCAAGGTCTTTTACACTCTCACTATCCTCCACACTGCTTCTGTCATCGAGAGACTTTTCTCTCTTTCCGGGAACTTGTTGAGAGAGAAGACATAAAATCTGAGCAAAACCCAATAATGTACATTACCATTCAAAAATTTAGGGTCAGTCGATTTTTTTTTTTTTTTTTTACATCTTTTTGTAAGTAGTCTCTAATACTCATTTGATTAAAATTACAGTAAAAACACTAACATTATGAAACATTATTACAATTTTGAATAGCATTTTAAAAATTTTATATATTCCTTATATTTTCAGAAGCCATTACTCCAGGCTTATCCATTTTAATATGCTGCTTTGGTGCTCAAGAAACATTTCTTATTATTATCAGTGTTAAAACAGTTGTGCTGCTTAAAGCTGCAGTCCGTACGTTTTGCCTCTTTGTCGCCATCTCTGTTTGAAAACCTGGAATTGCAGCTGTGTGTGGAATTATCTAGCTTGCATGAGTTGTGAGTCGGCACGGCTCCAGCGCGGATGAATCTAATGTTTTGAGGAGTATGTGTGTGTGGCAGTCAGTCACCGCACCAGTGTGGATATTCACTGTACTTCGCAATCACAGATTCTAGTCTACGTCTTGGAATATGACCCAAATAAGAATTTTCACCGTATATTGCCATCTGAACAAGTAACAAGTCTGCCATGTTTTTTCTGACCAACTGAGGAAAAAAGCATTACCATAAATCTCGCTACCAATAGTGATTAAATCTAAAGATCGTTTAGCTCATATCACATCAAACCGTTCAAATGATTATTATTGTTATACTTTATTCTCAAATGATTAATGTTAACAACATCAGCATTGGTGACTATGAGTATAGTGTGTATTAGCGTGTAGATTTAAATTTCTGCACAGTCTAATCTAATTGTCATACTCTTCGAATTTCATATTAAGAAATTCTTTTAACCCAAAAAGCAAATTATGCTCCCTTCGAACTGGTTTACTTTAAAATACAAATCTTTGTAATCCCAGGCTATCTGTAATCAGAAGCACATTCATAACTGGAATACAATTTAATTTCATTCACATGTGTTTCATAAACACATAATCCTTTCTGGATTACAATCCGCCATCAAAATTAAAAATTTAATTATTCTGGCTGCTGTGAGAACAAGCTATAAATGATCCGTCACCTGCAGGATCCTCACATGCGATAGCCTAGTAGCCAGGACAACTTCTTTATGTTTACAGACATGACGTAATGACGCAGTGCCATGCTCAAATTTCCTGCGAAAACCTACCCGTACCACTCAAATTAGAAAACATTATTATAAGATAACCTTTGTGAATCGGGCTAAAGTAAGGCGATAGTTTTGAACACTGGCTGGTTATGCACTTGCTCAAATATTGGTTTCGGATAATTTTTAACCAAAAAAAGTTACAGACTGCAGCTTTAATGTTTTTTTTTGTGAAAACTGTGATACATTTTTTGGATTCTTTAAATAGAAAGTTTAAAAGAACAGCATTTACTTGAAATACAAATCTTGTGTAACAGAATAATAGTTTTTAATGTGACTTTAGAAATTTTATGTGTCCAGATGTATGCGGAATGTGTGTTAAACAAACAAAAGAAATCATACCAACCCCAAACTTTTAACAGTAGTGTAAATGAACATAAATTTGCACATTTTTAATAAATGAAACCACAGATATGCCGTTTTAATACAGTTTTTTTTTTTTAAAGAGGCAGTTACTTTTGAGACTGTTGTGAGGGATCTTTCCCGGTTGTTTACTATAAGATTGATGGATCTGGCTGGGAACAGATAAAGATGCACTCAGCTGATTTCCACCCAGGGCTGGAAGTGTTCGAAACATCTGTCCAAACCGATCCGGTGAACGCTCCTGCAGAAGAAAAGCAACTCACTTTTGATTCCATATTTATCTCATATATGTGATTGTTTAGATAATATACTATATTAAACATTATCATTAAGTTTATTATTCATCTTAAAATACACCACCACTAGTCCAATTTATAATCAGTTGCACTCATTTTGATCCATCAGGATCTACCCACCCGTTCTCTGCGTCTGACCCGAGCCGAGAGACTCCTGTGTAGGGTGGTCTGACTTTGCGTGTCCCCCAGTAATTCAGTATAGGATTTCTCAAAGTAGTCTTCTGTGACATCCTCCTCCTCCAGGATCAATTCCTCCGACCCTTCGGGCCTGGGCTTTGCCAACACAAGCATGTGACACCCACCACAAGTAACCTGAAGAACACACACACTGTTTACAGATGCCATGAAATCAAAATAGGAGTTTTGTGGCTTATATTGATATATATGTCACAACAAAACACATTTACATTACCGTTTAAAAGAAAAAGGGGACAGAAAGATTTTTGAAAGTGATCTCTTATGCTCACAAAGGCTGCATTTATTTGATCAAAAATACAGTACAAACTGTAATATTGTGAAATATTATTACAAATTAAAATAATTTTCTATTTTAAAATATATTAAAATGTCATTTATTCCTGTGATGCAAAGCTGAATTTTCAGCATTATTACTCCAGTCAGTGTCACATGATCCTTCATAAATCATTCAAATATGCTGATTTGATGCTCACGTCACATTTCTTATTATTATCAGCGTTGAAATAGTTGTACTGGAAATGGTTTTACATTTACAGTATTTTTTTGAAGAACAGAAAGTTCAAAAGAACAGCATTCATTTAAAAACAGAAATCATTACTTTGTAACATTTTGGATTAAATTAATGTGTCCTTGCTCTATAAAAGTATTAATTTATTGAAAAATAATAATAATAAAAAAACTTGAATAATTTTTTCAGCCTTTCTCAGCTGGATGTGAAAAATGGACCATAATATTTATGCAAGTTTGCACAGTAAATTAAAATCATCTTTTTGAGAAATGAATGATATATTCAATAAAAGAATTAAAGCAAAAGGCCCTTTGATATTTCTGACCATACTTTTTGTTTCAGAAGTAATTAAGTCAACAGGGTTATGAAAATGGCATTTGTCAAACCATTTCATGAGGCTTTAAAGCAGAAAATGTATATATCTGGTAGAAATATGTATATTGCGTTATAAAAGGTTGATAGGCAGTGATGATGATACATACAGAATGTACATGATAGTCTAGGAATCTTGGACATAGGGTTGGAAATAATTTTATTCAGCGAGGATGCATTAAACTGATCAAAAGTGACAAATATGTATAATGTTACAAAAGATTAATGCAAATAAATGCTGTTGTTTTAAACCTTCTATTCATCAAATAATTATGTAAAAAATATATATATATATATATATATATATATCTCAGAGTTTCCACAAACAAAAAAAGGGGGACATAAATGTTTTCAACACTGATAATAATATTAAATGTTTCTTTAGCACCAAATCAATGTATTAGAATGATTTCTGAAGGATCATGTGACAATGAAGCAATGGAGTAAAGGCTGCTGAAAATTCAACATGCCATCACAAGAATATATTACAATAGAAAACAGTTCTTTTATTTTATTTTTGAACTAGTGCTGTCAAACGATTAATCGCTTCCAAAATAAAAGTTTTGCATAATATATGTGTGTGTTCTGTGTATATGCATTATGTATATATAAATACACATACATACAGTATATATTTGGAAAATATTTACATATATATACATAATAAATATACACAGTACACACATATATTATGTAAACAAAAACATGGGATGCGATTAATCTCGATTAATTGTTTGACAGCACTAATCACATTCATTTTTAAATAAAAAAAGTCCAGACTTTAAATGGTAGCATAAATTTATATAAAAATGTTTTTAAAAATAATTTTAAGCATACCATTTTTTTATTTTTAAAGGTAATGTGTATTTTTTTTTCCATATTAAAACCCATTTTCTTAAAACCCTCTTGTTAATTCCCAGAGTTCCCCTATGTTGCCCTGTGGCCCTTTCAAAACACTGCTCGGTTTATTTCAGTGGTTCGCCTTGGTTTGCTGTGTCAACTTCTGGCTCGACTAATGGAATACATAAATAAATAATAAAATATGTAAATAATTAAGACGAAAGAGAAAACACATTACAATTTTTTTTAAAAGGCACTGATGTACTAGACTCAAAAGCATAAAGCGACTATTCTATCATGTTTGCAATAAAGCTTACATGTATAAACAAGTGTGTGAGTTCTTCCACAGGCTGCAAGCTTCACCCGCTCTGATTTTAGGGCTTTAAGAAAACAAATATAGTCAGAGCATGTCAGAATAAAGTTGAAAGCAATTCATTCTTGCTAAACACATTGATATAACCTAAACAAAAAATTAAATTATATATATATTTTTTGTTTATTTATTTATTTTTAACAAGTTACTTTGCTAAAATATTGAAAAATTGCACTTCTCTCTGCTTTCCAGATTAATGCAGATTATGGACCACTCCAGATTGGGATTAAGACAATCTATGGCTTTGTCTTGAAAAGATCTCTCATTTTCTTACAGCTACTCAGCAACATGTAATTTTGTGTGTCAAGCAATATACTATACATACTGATAAAAAATGTATAGCCTGAATGCACTGTAAGTCGCTTTGGATAAAAGATCTGCTAAACGCATAAATAAATGAATATTATTGCTGAATAATTCAAAATCACTCATCTTTATTATTTGACAAATATCCTGCCCAAACAGCTAAATGTGAGTGACAGCATGGGAAATGTGTCTGCGTAAGTGATTTATCAGCTGTGGATGGCAGAAAACACTCTCTTGGACTGACAGTCTGTCCTACCTTTCACACAAGTGGGTTTATTCACAGTGGCTTTTGTTCCAAGGCCCAGCTGTCCCCAGTTATTGCTGCCAAACATAAACAGCTTCCCATTTTCTAAACACAATAGGAATAGCGACAGGATGAATGAACAAAATGATGGAATAAGACTGTATTTACCAATATCCACCACTAAAATCATAAATCCCACCTGTCACCAGTGCTGTGTGCTCATCTCCACAGGCAATTCTCAAAGGTACATCATTTTTTAACCAGAATTTACTGGGGGCATTATCTGCGAATTTACTCTTTCCAAAAGTGAAGACGGCTCCGTATTCTAAAAAAAAAAATAGAACAATGCAGACAGACAAATTTAATGTCGCCATCTTGGTGTTTTATGACTGTTGTGATGACTGTTGTTATCAAAAATAAGCTGTTTTTATCACGAAGCATACAGTTTTACGATTCTAAAAAAAAAAATAGAACAATGCAGACAGACAAATTTAATGTCGCCATCTTGGTGTTTTATGACTGTTGTTATCAAAAATAAGCTGTTTTTATCACGAAGCATACAGTTTTACACCATATTGCGTTAATAACAAGTAGTAATTTCTATCATTTTTAGTTGAAGTTTCTGGTTCTTTGTATATATACACATACATATGGTTAAAATGAATTGTTTACTTCATAGAACTGGGATGGAGGGGGAGGGGGAGAGAGAGAGAGAGAGAGAGAGAGAGAGAGAGAGACATGACCACATGGCGTGGTTGCCTTGGCGACAGGTAGCCACAGGCGTCAATGAAAGAGCGGGACAGAGTGTTCAGTGAATAAAATACAAAACACAAACAGCCATTAACACTTATAAACCCTGATACATATAGTATTAGCAGGGCATAAAAGCAGTTAAGACATGTTTACATCAGTACATCATTCGCATCCACTATGTAGCACCGTTATATAGCCTGTAAGCTAATAAACAGCCAACAGAATTAAAGAAACACACGTGTCGCAACTGAAAATAACAAAACAGTTTACACTTTTGATCACTAACGCAGCACATAATATTTACCAGGGATCTCATCTTCTGTTTCTCCGGCCATCTCCCCCAACTAATCCGTTTATTTACGCTGGGCTCTAGGAAGTGTGACCAAGAAGCTTCTAATATGACAGAAAGAAACCGTCCGCTTTACATGTTTTTCCGCGTTGAGGTGTCACGTGTTACTCGTCAGCTTCTTTGAGTTTTCTGAGAGCTCTGACTTGTACCACGTGACCGCTGTACCACCTGACCACATCCACCGCAGGCTCTGTTTAGGCGTTGATAGTGTTGCCATAGAAAAACATAATTCCGAGGACGTGAACAGCTCGTTGACTGTATGGAACAGCTGCGAGTAGAACGTCACGTGCTGTCATCTCGAAATTACGGTAATAATGATATGGCGTGAACGCAGCATAAGCTGCGGCTACTGGGCATGCGCACATCAATATAGCGCTTTTTTTGTCACGCTGTACAATAATAATTACTGTTTTGCATTATTGTAAGGAGTAGGTAAAAAATATATATATATATTTTTTGTTTCCGGCCGCAGCTGTATCCCTTCTAGACACAACCATATACCTATGATAAACATTAATTATATTATAGGTTGTATTGTCTTAAAATTACCTTTTTAAATGTGTGTGTGTGTGTGTGTGTTTCAAATATGATTTTTTCAGTCGTTTTTAAAAAATGTGTAAAACAGTACATTAACTTTTGATTTTGGTCACAGTCACAGATGGAACTAAATGTGTCTTTATACGAATGATTTAAATCTATCTATCTATTTAATTAAATAAATAAAATATAAAAACTATATGATGTATTATATATATATATATATATATATATATATCAAATTTATTATACGAATTTTATAAAACATTAATGTAATAAAATTGTAATGTAATGTAATGAAATTATATACATTGAATTCATATACTATTTTTTCTATATTTAATATACTATAATATATTGTTCTGTAATATTCAGTAATATGTAATATTCTCACTATTTTCACTAAAACCCAATCTCACTAGCAACACAATCTTCTGTATCTGTATATTGTAAAAATAAACAACAACAACAACAATAATAATACAGTAATAATAATAATAATAATAATAATAATACGCCTATGTTTACACAACACAATCATTTGCAAGACATTTTACTTTGCAGTGTTTTCATATTAGAGTGGAGCGGCTAGGCAGCGAAGAATCTCTAAATAAACGCCTCTTCCGGTTCAGTCTGTAAACAGTGATCTCATCCCCAGTCTTGCGCCGTCTTCCTTTAGCAGAATCTCCCAGCATGTGCGGCACGCCGTCTCCACAGAAATGACCGTGAAAGCGAATGTTTATGTTTCCGTGTCCTTACGATCCGCCCGTTCTTTTGACATAATGATGAGTAGCTGGGGATCTTTGAGTTAGCCTGGAGCATGCTAGCATGCTTATTAGCCTGTAAAAGGGGCAAACTAGCAGCTGCCTGGTGCAAGCTCTGTTAAAGCTGCTTTCAAGTGTTTTTTCACTGGGGTTTCTGCTTGGAGAATAATGGAAGGCGTGCTTTACAAATGGACAAACTATATGACAGGTAAGTGAATGGCACTGACAAACTGACATATAGACACTTGAGCTGCAGTCAGACAGCTCTGCAAGATCTGTCTCGTGATGTCTGTAACGTTAACTTATATTACAGAGAGAGAGACTGCTGCGGATGCATGCAACTTTGTTCTTTTGTGCTGTATTGCTTTTTGCATTGCTTCTTTTGAAATGTCCGTGTTGAGTGAGAGTAATATAGCTCATGTGTCAAACGTCCCGTCGTGTCATGTGATGTTACGATACTTCAAGTTCAGAAAGTTGCATTTTGGATGCGTTTTGTCATCTGATAATACTTTCTTTCATGACAGGATGGCAGCCAAGGTGGTTTGTGCTGGATAATGGCATTATTTCATACTATGATTCACAAGATGACGTGTGCAAAGGTAGCAAAGGCAGTATTAAGATGTCAGTATGTGAAATTAAAGGTGAGATTTGAGATTGTATATCTTATCTGCAAAATCTTCCATCCTTATGACAAATTAAACTGGTTATTCTTATGTCATTTTTGACTTCCTTGTGTTTTCTCCAGTTCACCCAACTGACAACACGCGTCTGGAGCTGATCATACCAGGAGAGCAGCATTTTTACGTGAAGGCAGTGAATGCAGCGGAGAGGCAGAAGTGGCTTGTGGCTCTGGGAAGCTCCAAAGCTGGACTCATTGACACTAGAACCAAAAAAGAGAGGGGTGGGCTTCTCTTAACAGTTTGCTCTCTGGTCATATTCTTGTTTTTTATTATTCTCTTTTGCCTTCTTGTCATAGCACAAGACTAAAAATACAGTAAAATATTTGGTTACACTTTAAAATACCAATATTTTCATACAAGTTATTGATTCTCCACAGATGCTCATAAACTAATAGGCTAATAATAATAAAAAATATTTATAATTAGTATTAATATTGTTAACAAAATAATCATTACTATCAAAATAATACACATTTTTATTTATTATTACGATTAAAAAATAAAAATAATATTTATATACACATTAATATCTTAAGCATTATTTATCTTGATATTTTCTTAACATGTATGTACAGTGGGTACGGAAAGTATTCAGACCCCCTTAAATTTTTCACTCTGTTATATTGCAGCCTGTAAAAATATAGATTTAAAGGGTTAGTTCACCCAAAAATGAAAATTATATAATTAATTACTCGTCCTCATGTAGTTTCAAACCTGTAAGATCTTCAGTGGTTCAACCATAGTTTTATGAAGCTACGAGAATATTTTTGTGCTCAAAGAATACAAAAATAATGACTTTATTCAACAATTTCTTCTCTTCCATGTCAGTCTTCGACACGCTTTCACAAGAATACCACAATGCAGGAGCCGGCGTTCTGATGTAGAACTCGTTATTTTAGTTTTTTTTGTGCACAAAATATATTCTCGTAGCTTCATAAAACTATGGTTGAACCACTGAAGTCACATGGACTATTTTAACGATCTCCTTACTACGTTTCTGGGCCTTGAACGTGGTAGCTGTATTGCTGTCTATGCAGATTCAGAAAGCTCTTGGATTTCATCAAATATCTTAATTTGTGTTCCGAAGATGAATAGAGGTCTTACAGGTTTGGAGCGACATGAGGGTGAGTAATTAATGACAGAATTTTCATTTTTGGGTGAACTTTCCCTTTAAATAAATCATATTTTATATTGTATTATCATTATATTTTTAGAATAGAATGATATGCTGATAAAGACAATAATATGTAAGTACCCAGATGTAATAAAATATGTATATACACATACTGTATATATATATATATATATATATATATATATATATATACACACACACTGTATTGAAGTCCAGTGGGAAATTCAACTCAGAGACAGAAGGCTTTCATATACTGAATTCATGTTTCCTAGTTGCGCATCAAGTAATCTTGACTGCTAAGCAGTATCAAGGCCCATTAACAGTTGCATTTCCTCTCCTAATGGGTTTTTGCAGAGTTAACAGAAACCACAGAATCCCTGAAAACCAAGATGTCAGAGCTGCGCCTGTACTGTGACTTACTAATGCAGCAAGTGCATACTATTCAGGAGTCAGCGGAACAGGAAGGAGAGTCGACGGTGGCCAGCACTGAGGTTAGCTGTTTTTCTTTCAAACCACAGTAATCATTGCAATTATTGCAGTTGGGTGGGTGTGATATAAAAAGGTTATCATCATAGTAATCAACCCTTATAAACCAAATCGTTGTATTTTCTGCTGTTTTTTTCCCCAGACGAGGAATGAGGCGTCCTCATTACTGAGTGCCACCTGTGAAACCTTCATCAAAACACTGGAAGAATGTATGAAAATTGCTAATTCCAAGTTTAAGACTGATATGTTGCAATCCAGTCCGTCTGATTCCATAATGTCCCCCTCTCCTGTCCAAATGTCTCGGGTAAAGACACAAGCATAAATCACATACAATTTCCTATTTTTATTTGTAGTTCCTATTTCTATTAGATTGTATGGCATTTTTTTATGGCAAGTTCTTTGGGTGAATTTTACAAAGACATGCCCAAGTCATGTTTGATCCCAAAATCAATGGAAAAAATTAAAAACTTATATTTAAAGGGGTTATATGATGCAATTTAATTTTTTCCTTTCTCTTTGGAGTGTTACAAGCTCTTGGTGCATAAAGAAGATCTGTAAAGTTGCAAAGACTAAAGTCTCAAATCCAAAGAGATATTCTTTATAAAAGTTAAGAGTCAGCCACACCTACCTAAAACGTCTCATTCTAACACACCCCCACATATCTACCTCACTATGTGGGAAGATTTGCATAATGCCGCCCAAATGTTCACGCAAAGAAAGAAGGTGTAACTTTTATTCTCACTGTAGTATTGTTGCCGCTGCCGCCATGTCGTGAAGACGCTGTGTGCTTTGTTGTGAAAGCAAAACTACTTTGTTTGGTCTTCCAAAAGAGGACAATATCCGCTTCGTCATGCCTGGAGCTGATCCGTGCTGGTAGCTGAGGAAATACATCAACTTAGTGCTGTGGATCGCCGGATCGGCTTTCACCGTTTTCACCGCTCCTTCGTCGGATCCGTCGGGCGCGCCGTTCTTGATCCCGCCGCCTCAGCTCACTCTTGCCGGGGCTTTCGCTCACGCTAGGCCGCTGTGTTTTTCATTGTGAAAGCGAAACTACTTTGTTTGGTCTTCCAAAAGAGGATGATATCGCTTCGTCATGCCTAGAGCTGATCTGTGCTGGTCGCTGAGGGAATAACGTTACATCAACTTAGTGCTGTGGATTGCCGGCACATTTTATGGAGGACTGTTTACTGATCCTGGGAGAGTAGACAACAATGCCGGCAGTTCTGACTCACAGTCTGTAAGTACGTTTTCATTTAAAGGATTTGCCACTGATGATTCAAACGAGAGTTTTGGGCAGTAGAGTAGCACTTGTTGTTTGTCATTTCTCCGATCACAAATGCAGACAGGGTTTTATGTTTACGCGGCGCAATGCAACGCAATGTGTAAAAAGACAGTATAAGTCATTATAATCAGTAATTATGTCCCCACTGGATGCAACAAATGCCTCGTTTGTAATGGGTTTTCATGTATTTTGTCTTGTCGCTCCGACCGGACACGGCATCAACACAGTATGGTGAGGG